GAGTATAATTTAACATAGTTAAATAATACAGAACTGGGTGTTTCAAGCTTATAGTCAGGGCTCAAACTTATCAGTTTGTATTTTCTGACAATATTTACTTTTATATGACGTAGTTGGTCAAAGGGTTTTCTGAACTATTCCTAGAATGTTTTTTTTATATTATGGTAGGATATTTTTTTTAATTCCCAGTCTACTGAGCACATTGTAGTGCCACTCACTAAGTTTATAAGAATCTTTTAATAATTTGAATTGGAAGACTCCTTTGCACTTTTTTACGTTTTACAGTACACATGCTAAATTCTTGTTGATTAAACGAGATCATATTTCTTCAAAAGAGTAAAATGGCATTACATTCTTATATGATCAAATAAAAAGCTTTCACTTGATCAGTGATTGCACATATTTGTGGACAATGTAATGGTTTTACTGTACAGTATGAATTACATTTATCTTATTATATAAGTATGAAGTTTACTTTATTTTTAGATTATGCTACTGTATTGACTAACACAAACCACACACACAAATCGCTTTTAATTAGTAGTAATTTCTATGTTGAGCTAGAAAGAAAATCAGATCTAAATAGGTTTAGAATAACATCACAACACCACTTCATTTGCAAAAAGAAAATATGGAAATATGATATGGAAAATGTATCCATATCTTTAAATATCCATCTTAAAAAATAGTAACTTTTTCATAGCTAATGGTTCAATGGCAGGCTACACTTCAATTAATATCAAGAATATGATCTGTTTCTAAGAGATACAGTACATTATCACTGAAAAACTGTATAAATAAATGTGCATCTAACAATATATGTGATGTATTTAGACTTGTATCTTTAATGGAGTGAAAATATTCTGATGCTTGTAGAATTTTATGCAGGTTTATCTGAGCTTAAGGATATCAAGGAAATTACCAGGGGACAGTTTTGTCTGAGTTGGTGCTCTTGATTTAAGAATATTTTACATGATTTAATTCTTAATATTTACTGGATTTGTTCAGATATGTCAGGATTGTGGACATATATCTTGCTTCTGAAAATATAATTAATCATAAATGTAGATTGGGAATTTCTCATTAATAAAAAACAAAAATAAATGTGTTTAAAACCATCATACACACGTAAAAATGCTGTTAAGGAGAAATGTTTTTTTACCATTGATAATTAAGTTTGTTTTACTGTATACTTATTTGTGTTGATTTTACATTAATCTTTTTACAGTATTATAATTAGAGTCCTGGTTTCAATACAATAATGGCACTTTTTACATTCCTTATAAGTACAGAGAATGCATAATGGAAATATATTATTGTTGCCTTTCCATTTTAATGCTGATTTAAGCTTGTTTTAAATACATTCATTTTAGAATTTTGGACAAATCATATTACCCAAAAAAAATTTTCTGTAATAATAAAGCTTATTCTTCTGCATGTTTACCTTGTTTTCAAGCATTAAATCTATGACAACTGTCATATTTCACTGTTGTTATTATAATTCTTATCTGAGGAGAAAGAGCATTTTGCCTCAATTTACTATGCAGTGGCCCTGAATGAAATGTGGAAACTGATTTAACAAGGCAGCAGCAGTGTGAAAAAGTAAGTGATTGCAGGTGGGACAATGCTGCTGTTCCCCTGAGCAAGGTACTTCACTCAGATTGCGTCAGTGAAATTCCCAGCAGGATAAATGGGTGCAAATTTAAGTCACTTTGGATAAAAGCATCAGTCAAACAAATTAAACGTTATAATAATATCCTGCATGATACAAAGCTGCTGCAGACAATTTAGAGTAGAAGTGCAAAGAAAAGCATTTTATGGTTCCACCAAGAGCTTTCAGAACTTAAATTCTCACACTATCACTCTCTATTTTTTCCCATTTGGGGGCCTGAAAAAAACGTCTCCCCATAACTTAAATTTTGTAGAATTATCTGGATTTCAGTAAGGATGGGAAATGTTCTCAGATACAAAGAACAAAGTTGACGTAACGGGCATCTTACTTATTGAGTGACAGTCACAATTAATTTACAAACTGAAAGTAAAATGAAAAGGAGTTTGCAAACTTTACATTAGATTTCTGGTTATTAAGGACAATGCACAGTGTGTAGTTTAATAACCTAAAAACTCAAATATGCACTAAAATTCTAGCAATGTAAACCATGCACTGAAGAGCTTAAATCCTAATCCCTTTTGTGTCTGGGCTAAACAAACTTTGGAAGGAGTTAGGAGAACATTTTTTTTTCCATTGTGATAAAGGACACAGTGCTTTACTTGGATTTAACAAGAAGACATAAGGCACAATTTCAGAATGATAAACATCAAACACCACCCCTTCTCTACCTCCAAACAAAAAATAACCAGCTACAAAATATTTATTTCCTTAAGTAGTGTTGCTTGAAATGAAACCCACCCCCTTCCCCCTAAAACCTTTCATTCTTACATCATTTATGTCTGTAGCACTTTTTTTTACATCTAACATGACTACTTTGTGAACATGTAACTGTAACTATAAAGTTTAAGTAAGCAACACAGGTGAATCAAGCAATGTACAGTGCAGGTTTAAAACAGCACACAGTGAGTATAATAATTGCCAAATTAAACTAAGATTTGATTTACTGATATAGTTCTGATGGAACATAGATTCACAGATTAACTGTTTATCCTGCAAGTCGTGTTTATTAATTTGTTATTTTTTCTCAGAACAAATATAGAACTGCTTTTATTTACATTTAATTTTCTGTGAATATTAGAAGCTTTTACTCACACTTACTAAACTACAAGGCATGTTTTTCTATACATACCGTACATGAAAAGAAATTGCACAATAATATACAACACATGTGCAGACATTTAAGGGCAAAGAGTAGCAATCGAAAACCTTTTCTGAAAGTTTTTGTTGTCCGGTAGTTGCGTATGCAAAAAGGAAACTTTAATGTTAGTTGTGCTTTCTGTGGAGTACAGTATGTAACCAATTTAAGGCAAAAACACATCAAATGTATATATTTACATAAATAGCTTTGGAAACTTTTGAAAATAGTGCCTTTATATATATTTATTTATTTAAATTGAAGTGCAAATTTTAAAATAATGCTTATCAAACACATTAAGGAAAACATTTTTTCTTGGATATACATTAAGGAAGAAGATGCATGTTTAGAGTTACACATGACACAGTATATGCTGTATACTGTATATACAACATGATAGAGATATGGATGCAAGATAAAATGATTAACTCATAGTACTAAGTTTTCATTTATTTACAGACTTTTCAAATTTCAACAATATTTTTCATACTCCTTAGGAAACCAAACTAAAATGGTGCCATTTTTATCTTGGAAAATTAAATGATGATTTACAATAATGATTTATTACAATAAACATGCTGATAGCATTATATCATATATATTATTTGGATCAGCAGTCTTGTTTAGGTTACTTGCAATGTCTGAAGTGTTAGCAGGAAATAATTGCCACGGTGCAACACTCATGTTATTATATTTCATAGAATTATTAAAAGACCTACAGTAGATAGCTTTATACAAATAAGTCACGGCTGGGCACATCGATAACTATCAATACTCATTTTTGCTGATTAAATTTAATTTGTGTGAGTAATTTAATGGAAACAATTTATAATTCACTATATAGTTCACAATACATTCTGGTAACATTCAAAATGGCAAACGTTTAAGAAACTTCAAAATACAAACTGCAAATAGATTTCCTTAGGAACATTTAAACTAGATGTTTGGCAAAATATATAACTACACTGTATGCCATAGAGAGGCATTTTATTGTCGACTATTTTCTGTTTCTGAGAAAGTAAAAATGTAGTGTAATAAAATCACTATTTTTTTCTGTACCAATTTTAGTATATCAGGTACTATAGTTACAAAATCTGTCCATGTTCTTATTTTTAATTTTTTTTCTACGATATTCGCGTATCACCGAAAACTCTTCGAAGACAACTGTGGTGTCAAATTTAGACAGACGAGGGAAACAGAAGCATTTTAACAGGGCATATTAGTCTAAAACTTGAAATACCTAGATGATTGATGGATACAACAGGAAAGTTAAATAGTTCAGTAGCAGACCATTTGAAGCTTACAAATTACACGACATGAAGGGAAACCAGGCGCTCTTAAAATTACATGGTGCTAAAAAAAGTATTTTTTTAATCAATAAATGATCTCTGACAAGAAGGTCATCACAACATTTATGTATAAATAATTTGCTTACAGTTTTCAAAGCAGTTCAGTTTGTCATAATTATTGGATCAGAGAGAATATTTAGAACCGACTGCTGGCATATCTCTTTAATTAAAATTTAAATTAAATCTTCATGAATGTTAATCGAGATGCTGAAGCTATTATCGGCAGATGTTGTTTGAAATGCATACTTTTAAAAATAATTGTCAATAAAGAGTGTTGTATAGGAAATACAAGGGCATAAATACTTTTGGAAAAACTTAATTTTCGGATTTATTTAAGTACAGTATCCTAAGCTTCAAGGCAGTGCGCGCATCTCAGCAATACGATTGTACCATTTATTTCCACAAAGATCTGCTCTACATAACATGAATTACACGGGGAATCTAACGTGTAGAATGAGAACATTGTCATGAACTACCTTATTATAAAAAAACAAGTATTTTATGAATGAATCTTTGTAACTAATATCGACTGAAGAAAAAAAAATACATTGTTGTGTGTCCCTGTCGTTCTTTATATTTTCTTAAATAACGAATCTTAGTAGATCGCGATCTTAGTAAGAAAGAGTGCGATATCGTTACGAATGTCGCATCTTATTATAGAGGGTTTATTCCATCAGGAGTTTTACATGGGAGACGTAAGTCAACCTGTAGCGCTCAATGTCCAAGAAACTGCTTGCTGTACGCAGTGTACAGCTATAGCATCTGTCTCTTTAAGAGCGCTCAGGCTAGGGTGGCGCTTTCCTCTGCAAAGGCTTCTTGATATTAATAGTGTTGGTGTCTTGAAACTGACGTAATGCTTGGAGTCTGAGGTCCTGACAAGCGATAACATTTCTGATAAAGAACTGAGCTCACTGCAAACTAACCTCCTTTTTTTTCAGTTACAGGCGTTTATTATTAAACACAGTCACCCCGATTGCACTTGCATAGGAGAAATCAGAAATCTCTAAATCCCCTAAAATAACCAGAGATCAACAAACAAACAACACAAAGACGGTTCATGGCTCAAGCCAAAGCTCCACCATCTTTCAGACTGCAAAGATTATTGCAATTTAATCAACAGGTAAGGTGAAAAGAAACAGTCAACGTAAAGAATGGAGCAAACAATGTGATGCGAATAATAGTTCCTGAATGCTGATCTCTTTAGGATTGTTATGTAATGTTGGGGAGAGCTAAGGGATTTTGTGAATCAGTTGTGAGCTACTTTGCTAAGAAAAAAGAGCAGGGCTTCTCAGATTTCACATGGCATTTAGGTTTTGTTGGGTCAAATGCATGAGAAATTGAAATTGGCTACTTGCAACTTGCAGTAGCCTTAATCGAGAGGTCACGTTCAAGAAAGGGAAGAAAAACATGATTTCCAGTAGGTTTGTGGCGAAGTTTTTTTTTCCCTTTTTTTGGTTAGTGCTTTGATACGTTTACCAGTTACAAGATTGTGACGGGCGAAAGTTTCTTTTAAGTGTTGTGAAATGTAGCGATATTATGTAGCGCATGCTGTGTACATATTGGTATTTATGTTCTAAATATGATACATGTTTAAGTTTTGTTAAAGCTTATAGCAGATGAGCGAAAAGGTTATCAGCTACGCTGCGGAACTGGTGGTGTTACTTAAAACTTTCTTAAAAGGAAGGTTTCTGTAAAAGGGTAATGATGCGTAACATAACTACGGAATGGGGCCGTGTGCTTGCAAGTTTGAAAACTTTCAACTGTGAAGTCTGATCTTAACTATAGATAAGCGATTAGAAACGTATACATGTTTTAAATGTGTTTGTCGCAGACAGCATCCTGAATGGGCTGTGTGTTTAATTCAACCGGTTACAAAATTCTGCAGTTTATCCAGAATAGTGGAATATAACTTTCTTTAAAGAATGTTTTACTGGAATTCAAATAAAAAGGGGGAAAAAAAAACCCAGGTATTTTTGTGTGAGTTTATGTTGCGATAGAAAACAGAACGAGGTTTTTTTTTTAAAAGATAATCTTTATCTGCTTTAAGGTTTGGATTGAATTGTCTAACGTGGTTTTGAAGTTTTCAGCGGATATTGTTCTCGAACTCGGTCTCTACTTCTCTATATTAGGTATGGCAAGACTTGCAAAACGATGGTACTCTTTTATATAAAATTAAAAGATTAACAAGGCAGAATACTTCAAAGTTACGGGGTTTTGACGATGGCTTTAATGTAAGCAGACAGGCAGTTCGGCGCTATAGTTCAGTAGTAAAAAGTTCTGGGTAGCGTGACTAAGCAACATGTACTGTAGTTCTTAAGTACCTTTTCTAAAATTCCTTTTCGTGAAAGTTAACAAAGGAAAGTTATATATCTAACTCCTTATTTCCGTACCGTTTGATCAAACAAAAATGAATTAAAATATGTAAATTTCCATCTTTATTATTCTTTTTTAATACAGAAGAAGCGCTGATGACATTATTTCCAGACTTTCAAGACCAACTGCTTTTTTTATATTTGCTCATAATTTTAAGAGGAAATAGTTGCATGATTATTTTGGATAGTGATGTGTTTCTTTTATGAAAGTAACTAACCTGGTAGTGTAAATAGGCTGCGCTGATACTTGTAAATTAATTTAAAGCTTTTGGATTTGGCAATGCCAGCTTTAAGTCATTTTCAGAAGTTACCTGCTATCATCTTGAATCAATATTAGGCTGCTACTATGTATAGCTGGTTATGACACAAAAATCCCGTGTTGGTTCCAGTAGATGAATTACAGTATTTCCTGTAAACTGTGAAACTGACAACACTGTCTGGAAATGATACGGCGCTTCTACCCATGAAAGATCTCATTATTGTTGGTGAAAGTTTGTTAATGACGTGGCCAAGGCAAACAAATGCGGCTCATCTTTTGAAAAAAAAAAAGGCCATGTTTTCAACTTGTCAGATGAATAATAAGAACTTTCAACGAGAAAGTGCTACCAGGAAAACTGATATTTGATCAAAAAATACCAATACGGGGTAAATTATACTGTTATGCGTTATTAAACTCCTGACGGGGTTAGCTATTTCAATGTTATGTTACATATATTAGATGTTGTTATTATTAAACAGGCTAACCCCTACTTGATAAACAATAATAAACTATTTGAAAGCTGCTTACCTGCTCATTTCTATACTTCTATCCTGAAGTAACAGTTTTAATACTTAAAAGAATTTGGAGAAGTTCAATTAGGCACGTAAGAAAAGGCAGATTTTAACCTTCAGAAATAAGCTGCTTCTCAAATAGTTGGGCGAGAAAGTATTATTAAGCATCATTTTGTAAAGTAGTATTTCTCGGGGTGTGTTGTATTCTTCCTAGAAATACCATATGGTATTATTCCCTATATTGAAATTGAATAGTCTTTAATATGTTTGAAATGTAAATGGGCCGACTTCAGTTTATGCTCCAGTACGACTATAGATCAGTTCAATGTAGTGGGAACTTTACGGGTGACAAAAGAATTTTAGATCTCAGTGTTAACAGAACCCATCTGTGGGGGGCAACCATTTGTTACACATGGCTTTATAGTTTGCATGACTTAAGAAAAGTTAAGACATTACTTGTGTCTGTTATATTTATCTATTTGTGTTTCCATCGATTTTTTTTTTGTACAGTTAAATTGGATAATGTAAACGTTAGGTACCAGTAAGAAATTCTAAAGAAAAAGATCTCTTTAATGTGTCTAACATTAAAAAAGAATAAACAACAACAACAGGCGACTGACTATATTAGCAAGATGCTTGGAGTCCTATAAAGCCACCACGCCTGTTCAGAAATAGTTTTTAGTAATTCGAAAGTGCAGCTGGAATGTGTTCTTGTGTTCTATTTAATTTTAAAGGAACAAAGAATGCTGTACAGTAGATGAATCTACAGAATGTTAATTTGTTTTGTCTCCTGCTAACTTTAGACAAAATACTAGTCCGTCTTGAGAAATGTCTTATGCTCCTAACTGTAGTTTTCTTTTAATACATTACAATGAAAAAATGTTATAGCAAATACTAACGCAATACTTTATTATGATGGATAATGAAAACAATAATTCTGATGCATTCTGTATTTTGGTATAACTCACAGGAAAAAGAAAGACATAGTATATATGCTTCTGCTTTGTACAAAAAAACTTAGCTTGGGGACTGGGGACTGTTAGGACAACAACAACAGTTTGAGCTGTTCATCAGTAGTTTCCTATTAAAAGGATGTACAGTACGATATAGAGAATATTTGATATTAATGTACCCAAATTAAAAATGAGTACAGTGTTTTTTTTACTCTGCTAATACAGGAATTGGTATAAAAGGGAGGATAGTAGGATCTGCTTAACCATCAATTTAGTGAACTTTTTATCGTTTCAATAGGTTACATCTATAGTGGTAAAAGTAACATTTTTTCATAAGACTCACTCTGAAGAAATATTTTTTCTAGGATAAAAAATGTACGCCACACTTTGAGCAGGATGCTATATGAAAATGAACCTTTCATTTTTTTAAGTATTTTAATATCTGAGATCTGCCTTTAGGCCTGTGTGAGTACTTACACTGCAGTGATCTGACGATTCTTGAGTGGCTTTCTCTGATTTCTAAATGGAGAATAATCTGGAAAACCACTTTGTCGTTATTTGAAATTATGTTACAACATGAAAAGTTTACTGCAAGTAAACCAGTAAGAACAAAGTGCAGAAGAAAAATAACTATTTAAAAACTAAAATACTTGTCTAAGTATTCATTTTTACCAAAGTGCCCAATGCTCGGGGAAAAAAATGCTCTTGAAACAAAAGACCCTTTGAAAAAAAGGTGACACTGTCTCTTTAAAAAAAATGTTCCATTAAAAGTTTTTGCAAGTGGCTAGACACCTTCCCTGGTGGTTTAGTTTATCCAAGCAGGAAACTTTCGATTTTTTAAAACCATCTGACGTAATGCCAAAGTTTACTTTGAAAGAACAGACAGCAGTAATTGGTAGCCTTAAACTTTTAATAACGCTTTGGATTCATTCTGGTAACCAAATGGGTTGTTTTTCAGATTCAGGAAAATAGGACTGTGGTCGGAGTAAGAAAGGGCTGGTTGATGCAGTTATTTTTATTCTTGTTTTTAAATCTGTTATTTAAATCCTATCCTGCTGAGCTGTGCTGGATTCCTCCAAAAGGGCTCTTTTGTGATTGTTAGTGCATTTCAGGCTACTGCTCCTTGATAGTTTTGACAACTGTAGAGTTTTCTGTTGTTACATTAAATGAAGGAATATCCTTTTTCAAAGGTTGTTATTTGGTGATCAAGACACAAAACCCCACTTTAGAATCTGGTCTTGCTATTTGAAACTTCCTTAAAACATTTCATCTGACCTCCTAAACAACCAAGTCTCAAAATAAACACAGTCCAATTTAATTGGGAAACATATGTCCTGAAATGTATTTGTAGCTATCAAGAAATCCTAGATTTAGAGGTGAGGCCTGCAAGAAATTTGAACATTTAGGATTTCAGATACTACTAATTAAAGAAAGAGGTATTAGTATTAAAGCCATATGTGACAAAAAATTACATGGAGAAAAATGTTAAAATCCTCACATTCATTGAAGGTGCTTCAACAGATGCGAAGTGAGAGTAAAAGAAATTGGATGCATTCTTAAATTAATTATTTCTTGGTTGTAGGTGAAGTGGTGGTGGCTGTCTTAAAAAGTAAGTAACTTAAGAGGGAGCTAGTGTTTTCAGAAAAAAAAAGAAGTGCTGGAGTGAAACTTGCTGTTTTCCTACAGAGAAATTATAAATAAACATTTGGTTGTTCGCTACGGTAGCAGTCAGGCAGAAGCAGGCTAAGGGAAAAAGGCAGACAGTGCGTTTCATACATGACTTCTGACCAGTGTGGTAATTTGTCACAAGCTAGCAATACTTTCAGAGATGCATGTCAGCCTTTACTCCTTTGCTGGTGGAACATTATAGCTTTTTGTACCTGTTGTGAGAATGATCGCCACAATGGAAGGGGATACACTGGGGGAGTTGGAAGTTCAAATGGTGACTTACACTTTTTAAACTTTTACATCTATTTTTTGTGTTAAAGGGGAGTTCTGCGAGGAACCCCACAGCAAACTGCCGC